TTTCTCAATAAAATTATGGGAAAAAATTGACAACCACAATGATAACACATTAAATGAAAAAGCTGAAATAGAAATCTTTTTTGTAAATGTAGCATTAGATTTCCAATGCATTTTAAAACCTTCTCTATTTTTATAAATGTTCTGCTTTACAATTACTATTGAAAATGTGCTCTACTCAAAAGAGTAAATTCAGACTTTAATTCCTTGTTCTTGCTTACTCAATGTAAAATAAAATGTTAAAACATGAAAAAAAAGAAGAAGAAAAAGAAACACCTTCTTACTTTAGACCTTTAAATTTACTTGTTTTAATTTTTGGTAAGTTCAGTGTTTCTGTTTTAACATTTAGTTCTTTGATCATTTCCACTTTGAGTTCAGTATATCGTAAGAGAAACCAGCCTAGAGTCAATCTTCTAAATATGGAGAACTAGATTTCCCAGCACTATGTGTGGCTATTTTTTCCTCAGTGCATGTGTTTGACCCCTGTGACAAAGACCAAATGTTTGTGCCTGGAATCGTTTCTGCGTCCTTTATCCTGCTCTGCCAGCCATGTATTTTGGTGACAATGGTGTTTTCAGCACAGTAGCTTTGAAGTCGGCCTTCAGTCTAGAACAGCAATGCCTCCTGCTCTGCTTCTTTCCCGGGATGGCTGCACTACCACCTCGGCCTTGTGGCTTCACAGAGTCTGCGCACTGCGCTCTCCGGGTCCCTGAAGAGTCCAGCTGGAGTTTGGGCTGGGGCTGCGCTGACTGTGTGCATTGCTTTGGAAGCCCGGCCACGTTGGGCCTGCTTCTCTGGTCACAGCGGACAGCTTTCTGTTTTCCGTATTCTGTAGTACAAAATGATGAGCTTAGTGCAGGGTTAAGGCTTTTTTAAGAACATCATAACAGTAATAATATAACACATGTCCACAAAGCTGTTTGATATGTCCTAAGTATAAAATATTATGTGTAACTTATTTTTCTTATATGAACAATTTAGGGCAGACAATAGGAGTTGAACCTGCACTGTAAAAGCTCAATGTGGAGTAAGGACAATTTGAAAATTAAATGTCTACGTTCTGGGAAGAATGATTCTAACCAAAATTTTAAAAATTTATAGAACTTACAATTTTCAAGACTGAATTGAGTTTGTACAAATACAGATTGTGCTATAGCTCAGTGTAAAACACAAACTCAGAAACGTGTCCCCACACATCTGTAGGAACCCAACTTCGCCAGTGCAGTCTGAATACTTTGTTCACGACAGGAATCCTACTTCGCCACACGATGCTCTGCAGATCAGGCCTCGTGAGCCACCTGTGGATAGCAAACATGTCCCCAAGGTGAACAAGTAGAAATTTATAAAGAAGAGCAAGTTTTGCAATAATTCCTAAGGTTAAAGAAATAATTGCCATGTCTTTAGAACTTGTGGTTGATACTAGGTGCTTCTACTTTAAAAATTATTACTCTCTGATTAAACTTAATGATTTGTAACTTAAAATATGAACAGGCAACATGTCATATGTTGTACATGACCTACAGAGTTTGTGTAATTTTCCTCAAGAGCAGTGGAATGTAGCTCTGTGATATATGCTAAGCGCCCGTCCCCAGAGCAAATGCTCAGGGAACTGGAAATATAGATCATATGATAACGAGGATTATTCCCAGTTGTGAAGATCAGGTCAGAAACTGATGCTGTCTGTGATAAGTTCCTATGAGGGTTCTGATCACTTTCCTGGTGCCCCAACCATGATGCTGATGTGTGTGTGTGTGTGTGTGTGTGTGTGTGTGTGTGTGTGTGTGTGTGTTTCACTGGTACTTTGATAAGGTAATACCCTGTGGGTGAAAAGGTAGATAGATTACTGTAAGCATTCAAATGTCTGCAATGTGCTGAGTGCTTTCAGTGAGATGAACCTGGCTTCTTAGGAAAGCTGCAGAGCAACGCCTGACACTCATGGTGTATTTCTATGTAATATGTGTGAGCCACGGCTTCTCGGCCCAGTTCATTACAGAAGTGCTTCTGAGGCAGGGCTCTGAGTACTCCAGGTGTGTGTTCAGTTGTCTTGCTTTCTTGGGAAGATTTTATGTCCTAGGGAAAGCGAGCTGGAAAGCTGGTCTGTGCTGGAGATGGGAGCAGTGTGTCTGAGGTTCCTTCGGGCTGTCGGGTCAAGGTAGAGACAGAGGCTGGTCAGGCAGAGATGGAGGCCATCAGTAATTTGTGTCAACAATCAGGGCTGTGGATGGTGGCCTGGGAGAGGACTTTCAGAGTTGGTTGAGAATAGGCACACATGGCTAGAATTCTGGCTACAAGAGAAAGAGAAGGCTACTGGCCCAAGCTTCCGGTGGAGTACCTCATTCTGTTCACTGGGAAGGAAGCAAGAGGAAAACGTTCTCCTTTTGCATTCTATAAGGCTCGCCTTTTCCTTCCCACCTAGCTGCTGGTCAGAAGTTTAATCAAAATTGTTATGCCCGAAAGGCAGAATAACAATGGTAGCAGACCTTTAGGTGACAACCATTTGATGGCACGTAACCTTTAGATAGTGTTTTAATATCCAGTACTGCATGACCTACTGGTGATCACCCAAAAGACTTCTGTCCCTGGGCCGACTGGATAGCTCAGTGGACTAAAGCACCTGCTCAGGTAGAGTGCAGCGGTGGGGGTTCTGTCTCAGGTGTGCTGCGCCAGCCCAGCCCCCGGGGCACACTGAGATGGTGACTGAGACTGGGTATGGAGACATACACCTGTAACCCCCGCACTGAGGCTGAAAACAGGCAGATTACTATAATTCTGACCTGTGTAGTAAGGCCCTATACTAAAAAAAAAAAAAAAAGACTTCTGTCTCTTCCTAAGAAAATGAGTTGACATTTTGGAGCTCTTGCATCATTTGTAATATCTCTTTATAGGCAAATGCAGGCAATTCAGTTGGTGTGCACTTAAGGTCGAACTATGGAAATAAGACCATCAGGTGCTACATCTGAGAGGAGTCACGAGAGCGTGAAGGTGGGCTACGGGGAATGAAGCTGTTCAAGTATGAATTAACACATACGCTCTCTGTGCCTCTCAGATCCCAGGTTTGTCGGTGCCCACCTCATCCCGGAGAGTGACAACCCAGAAGATGACAAAGTCTACTTTTTCTTCCGTGAAAATGCAATAGATGGGGAACATTCTGGAAAAGCTACTCATGCTAGAATAGGTCAGATATGCAAGGTGAGGCAAAAAAAAAAGTGGGGGGATAACATTAATGTATGCAATCCTTTGTATTTCTTTTATTTTCCACCTGTATGAAACTACAATGAAAAATATAACTAAAATATGCCTAGAGATGGCTCAGTAGGATAAGCGCTTGACTGGCAAATGCAAGGATCTGAGTTCAATTCCCGGTTCCGCCAAAAAAAGAAAAAAAAAACAAAGACGTATTTGCCAAAAAAAGAAAAAAAACAAAGACGTATTTGGGCGGGACTAAGGGATGGAGCAGACACGGTCGCTCTGGCTTGCTCTTCCCAGGGCGCCGGTCAGGTCCGCTTGTGGCAAGCCACACTGCTGCACAATCACGCGGGGTGAGCCTGGTTTGAAAGTCTCGAGATATAAAATGCTGCTTTGGTTATAAAGACACAAAAACCTGCATTACCTGGGGGAGCGTTGCTCTTGGTATTTTCATATGAAGCAGTTTCCTGTAGCTGGCAAGCTTGGAATGCCCATTTGCCATTGGCTTGTAAGAAAATCATGAATTTAAGTGAGAAAAACATTAAAGCCCTTTTATGGCTTTTCTACCTACACGAAAAGACACGCACAGAAACACACAGTTTAGAAGCTCTGAACTTCATCTTCCTGAGACCTCACTTATTGCAGGGCATGATGTTGGGTTTAGTATTGTAGCATCGCGTTAGATGCAGGATAAGAGCCCTCAGACACTCATTGGTGACTTAGCATTGTCAATCGGAAGTGTGTTCCACTGTTAGAAAATTAGGAGATTTAAAGTATTTGGAAACAAAGAAATAAACTGCACATAGGTAAACCTCTTTTCTCCAAAGAAAAGATATTAAACATATTACTTGAAAGCATTAAACATCTTTATAGTACAGAAAATCATGAAACTAAATATAAACCTGCATCCTATTATAAGAGAATCTACATGTTCCTTCAACATATGCATATAAATGTTATTTTAAAAGACTGTAGTTGCTAGTAAATATATAACCTTTAATAGAATTTATTGCTAAAGTTAGGTTAAAATTCAGTTTTATTTGCAGTAAGGAAACACTTTCAAAATATTTTCCTGGAATGAGTTTCCTCCAGTAAAGTTTGGGCAAATATTTTCTCAGTGTGTTATTTACAGAGTACAAATTGCTTCAGCACTTCAAGTTTTAAAGTATTTGATGCTGACATGTTTAGTGGGAGGACAGTTGCTGGTGTATGGTATAAGCCAGCATCTATCATCCATTCAATAAGCAGTGACTGACTGCACACTGCATACCAACTGCTAGCCAGAAACCTACTTGCACAGCAAGCAAGATTTCAGAAATGCACTGTAAGCGGGAGAAAAGTGAATCAAAACACACTCCAGAGCAGAGAGTGCTGACTACAGCAGCAACAGAATGGAGAAAAGCAGCATGACATGCGTAAGACTTTTTAAAGTGGAAATTGAAAACATATACATTTAACACCCATAGCATAATGTTTTGATGTGCAGGTGCATACCTGGCAGGGTGGGTACGCTGGCAAACTAACATATGTGTGTCTCCCGTGATTTTTGCAAATTCCTCTATTTGAGAACTTATGAAACGTAACACATCATTATTAACTATATGCACCATGTTGCACTCTAGATCCCTTGAACTTATTCTTGCTGTCTAACAGAAATCTTAAATTCATTCAGCACCACCCTCCAGAAGACCCCTGCAGCATCCCTGGAATCTGCATTCTACACTGCTTGTACAAGCTCACTTTTTTAGGTTTCCTGCTTTGATGGGCTCATGTGCATTTGTCTTTCTGTGACTGGTTTATTTTACTTCATGCTAAGTCCTCAAAGTTCATCAACTTTTTGGCAAATAGCAGGACTCCTCTGTCTTCAAGGCTGAACAGGCTTCCCTGGTGTGTTTTAAATTCCATTCATCCATTGGTGGGCATTAATGGCTCTTTAATGTTAAGAGACATTTATGATGAGTAATTCCTTGAGTATAATTTGAGTCAATGATCTGACCCACAAGGTAAAACAGGGCTAGTCACTTACATCTGGTTATTTAGAATAATGACGGTTACTTTGGGAAGTGGAGAATTTGAAGACTACCATGCTTGCAGATAAAGATTTCTTTAAAAAAAAAAAAATGGGAAAACGAGGAACTGTATTCGGGATTGTCTCAAGATGTGAGAAAAGTTGTACATGAGACTGCAGTCTGCAAGCACTGGGACCCACCCGGCTCTCCTTTTCAGAATGACTTCGGGGGACACCGCAGCTTGGTGAATAAGTGGACTACGTTCCTCAAAGCGCGGCTGGTGTGCTCCGTGCCGGGGCCCAATGGCATCGACACCCACTTCGACGAGCTGCGTAAGTACCTGCTGCCTCTGTGCAAAGGACCTTTCTTCAGATGCTGTCGAGGCCCTAAAAGAGGCATCTCTCTCAATTTTTGCTTTTAAACAGAGGACGTGTTCCTGATGAATTCCAAAGACCCTAAAAATCCAGTCGTCTATGGCGTGTTCACCACCTCCAGGTAAATAATTGTATTACCATTTCCTCAGAAGCTGCTACTTTAATCTTCAAGCTTTTGTATATCTTTGGGGGCTTTGAAATAAGGAAGGACATGCGTAGTGGGTTTTTTTTTAAGATATAATTTTAGCAAAGGATGTGAGCATTGAAGGTAGAGTGGTGAAGCAGTTAGAAGTTTGCACTGTATCTTATACACAGCTTTGATTTAAACATTCAAATGAGATAATGGAAATAGGAACATTGGCAAGAGTTTAGAGAGGTATAAACAAAAAGTTAAGAATCTTCAGAATATATGTGTACACATAATTCAGAATATGCATTTACAACTTATAGTTACAATCCTCCCCACCACCACCTGCCCCAAGCCCTTCATCAATAACTCAATGAATGAAGTACAAGAAAAGGTCAGGTACTCTCTGGTGCCTTCAGTTTCACTGAGACAAAAATCAGGTATCTGACCCACTGGGAGTGACATGAGAATCTAAGGAGAAAACACGGGAGGACACAAGCAGCCTCAGACCCTGCTGGGCTCCAGGGCATCGCTTCGAGGCCAGCTATCCCAGCAGATCTGAGGGACAATGGAGAGAGGCTCTGCTTCAGCAGAAAGGAGCTCACAGAGGACTACCCAGTTGTCCTTGGGTGCTTTCCAAGCCTTCCTGAGGCCGTCTATGGTACTGCGGTCCTGTCTGTGTTTTAGAACTTTCTAAAATGAGAAAATGCATGCTCTTTTTAAAATCTAATCTGTCTCTCTCTCTGTCACCCTGCTTCTGTGGCTCTGCCTGTGTCTGTCTCTCCCTCCCTCACTCTCTCTCATTTTACTCAGTTTCTATGTCCCCCCCTTGTAATCTACATTTTGAAAATGGCAATATAAAAAGATCAAACAAAACCAAATAACGAGAACAGCAGAGACACAGCCGTAGGGCCAAGTCCGTCCTGGTCAATGCCCCTACACAATTCATACTCCACCTGCTCCTCACACTCTCTGTCCCTCTTCCTCCCTCCCTTTCCCTCGCTGCTCTTCCCCAAGCCTCCCTGTCCATCTGTCCATCCATCCTGCAGTGCACAGTCCCCGCTAGACATCTCTTGGGCCCTTCTCATCACCTGGGGTTGCTGAAAGATCCCAATGCTGCCTACTCAATGTAATGTCTGCCCTTTACTGTAAAAACAGGAAAAGTATACTAAAGGTGTGGGGTAGCTCAAACAAAGGGAATGTCAACCCCCCACACTTTTCTTTTGCTTCTTCATTGCTTCATTCACTGGTTCTCAACCTGAGAATGAATTAGAAACACTTGGAAAGCATGCTAAAAATCAGTCTCTATCTTTCATGTTTAAAGAAAGGAATTTGAGAGGGCCTGCCGAATAGCTCAGTGGATTAAAGCATCTGCAAGCAGACGCAGGGATCAGGGGTTCAATCCCCAGGCCAGCCCCCAGGGCATGCTGAGATAGCAATTGAGACTGGGCATGGTGGTGCACACCTATAATCCCAGCTCTTGGGAGGCTTCAAACAGTCGAATCACTATGAGTCCAATCTAGTAGTGAGACCCTGAACACCCGTAGACTGTTCCCTAAAATACAAAAAAAAAATAAAAAGAATTTAAGAAACATAAAATAATAAAAGTTGAGGTCACTAGGCCCACTCCTGGAGTTTCTGAGTCTCTAGGAACAGGGACATTTCTAACATGTCCCCGGCGGGGGCGGGGGCGGGGGCGGGGGCGGGGACACACTGTGGCCGACTCATCTAGTGAAATTCCACTTCTACTTCAGGAACGGGGCGCTCAGGCATGCATCTCATCCTAAACAAGTAGAGCAGGAAAGAGCGGGAAAGGCTGCCTAGCGCAAGCCTCACATTTTCAGCTGTGCGAACTTGCCCCACAGCCCATCCTGAGAGCACTAAGCTCTGGAAGTTCTTGTGGAGGTTAAAGCCAGCCAGAGCGTGTGAGCAGCCCCAGCGGAAGCTCCCACCCCCGCGGTCCCCAGCGCGGTTGCTTCCGAGCAGCACGGGAGCCGGCTTGCAGGCGCACGCGGCTCTCCTCAGGCTCCTGCCACGTGATTTGCGATTTCCACCCGGGGAGCCCAGCTCCAAGTGTCCCATATTGCAAACCGCGCAGTCCTTTAATGTCTCTGTCCAGATGCGTGCCCCAGCCCTAGGCATGTAAGCAAAGTAAGACACAGTTGTTCAAAGCTCTGTGACAAACTTCCAGTGTACTTCTGTTACCTGACTTTCATTATCAAAATAATATGAATAATTGCTACAACTTCCACTTTAGCTGGGATGAAATAGCTATTAACTGAAAACTATTCCCGGTGTTGGAAAGAGATGATATTAAATGCCTTTACAAATATTAAACTGTTACTTGATGTAGTACCTCCGTGGTTTGGGAGATAAAAATAATGCAATGTGGCACATCATTTGCCATGGACAACTCATTCTCTGCGTGAATTTCAGTACATAAAGTAAGTTCTTAAACATGCCTACTTGCTTAAAATGTTGCTTGAGGCTTAGGCAAAGGTTTATATTTTCATTTCTACACGGTGTTAAAATTGAATTCTCATCTAGAGAAGATTTTCTACATGTTTTTTCTATCAAAATTTAATAGTATGTTTGATATGAATGTATATATTAAAGGAATGCTAAAGATAGTTCTATCATACTTTTCCTTGTTGAGAAATCATAATTATTTCTCCTGTGCATCATTAAAATACAAACATATGACTCACATAATCCCAAGTGTTATTTGAGATTATTAAGCATTTATTTTGGGGTTTCCTTTTATTATATTGCCTATTTTTTCTTAAAGTATTGGGGATAGAACTCCAGGCCTTGCTCATGTTAGGCAACAGCTCAGCCACTGAGCTACAGCCCCAGCCATGCATTCAACTATTGCTGCTTAATTTCTGACCCATACAATCTCAGTCTCACTGGTCTTCCCGCTGTGATGTAAAGCCAAGTGTCATCCTCTGCTCTTCTGTTTCCAGTAACATCTTCAAGGGCTCTGCCGTGTGCGTGTACAGCATGAGCGATGTGCGGAGAGTGTTCCTGGGTCCCTACGCACACAGGGATGGACCCAACTACCAGTGGGTGCCCTACCAGGGCAGGGTCCCCTACCCACGGCCCGGAACTGTAAGTGCTCACTGCTTAGCCCAGAAGTGACTATATTTCTGCCAAAGGTCACGAGGAGAAGAAAAGAGCATATCTACAAATGAGCCCTAAATACAGATAATATAGAAAGTTTACAAGACTAAATGAAAGTGAGACTAAGGTTTTCTGTGTGGGCATGGAAATGCGTGTGACCCTTGTTTGCCTCTGGCACCCATACTTTTGAGAACCCAAATCTGAAAGGGAAGCCTCATCTCTTTTCCCTCCTAGTGGGATACAGAGAAACGACCTCATGCAGGCCTGAAAGATAGGGTCCAGCCTGGCTTGGACTCTCCTCTATGGAAGGGGCTGGGATATCACACTTCAGACTGGAGAGAACATTACAGAAAACCAGCATTGCCATCCCACAGGCCTCGAGTAAAATTCTGAGTGTAGATGAAGAAGAATATATAAAATGTGTGTCCGAATGGAGTAGGGCCTCCATGTCTACTGTAGCCTGTCCGGCCAACAGCCAGCCCGTGTCCCTCACATGGACCCTGCAGCAAGCCTGGAAAAGTTAGAAAACTCATAATTAAACCAGCTCAGAGTCATAGCCTTAGCAGGAGGGCAACAGCAAGTACGACATGAATAGGGCATCGGTGTGATACAGCAGGCAGGGGCCGGTCGAGGGCACTGTGGCCCTGCAGCTGTGCTTTCTGTGGCTGTGCCTCCAGGAGAGGGCGGAGGGGAGGAGACCCACCACACAGCAGCTGGTACTAGGCTTCATGTTAGGACTTAGGTATTTTGATGAACTCAAGTAAATTGTGTTTTTAATTATTGTATTAGGTGTAGAATACTTTTATTTTTTTTCCTATATTGCTCAATTGGCTTATGAGAAAATTGACCATTTTGCATTTCCCAAGTATTACTTCATGCCAATAAGTCTTGTAGCAGAGGTTAAGGGGGATCTCAGAATAATAAGCAGCTGAGGAAGGCTGTGTATAGCAAGTACAATGAGTCTAAGAGGCTTCAGGAGAGCACAAGGCATTTACTTCATATCTTCATGATAAACCGGTTTTACGTTGTATGTAGACAGTGTTTCTTCCCATGACTCATCTGTACACATGTGCTCCCAACATAAAGCCGCTCTTCCTCGGTCTACACCAACCAGCATGAGGACATCTCCGAAGCGCTAGATACCGTGCTAGTATTCTCAACCACAAAGTTGAATTGAGTTCTTTATCTGAACATCTGCATAATATATTTGGAATTAATAATACCAGCTAGGCCAACCATGGAAAATACTACCTTCCAGGTTGTGCTCTAAGTGATAGTTTCTATATATGTAGATGCATGGGTCTGAGTAACCCACTACTCTTCCAGTTTATGGAGGGCTCACACAGCAGGGTAAGCTCTAGGACTCGGGCTAGGAAGTGCAGTTCTCACTTGTTCTTCAAAGATGCCTGTTCCAACATGAGAAATTAGGCCAGCAGGCAAGGTTCTGCCAGCGTTAGACACAGGAGCAGGAAGCGCTGCCGAATCTAAGAGCCAGGGATGGCCCAAGCTCCATTCATACCACGCTGCTGGATGAGCTTCCCAATTCTGAGAGGTGCCGGCTGAGAAGTATCATCCACCAATGTCAGGAGAAAGACATTAAGTGACCTTCAACGACATGCTGGTGGCACCACGAGTTTCTAAGGAAAGGTTTATAAGTTTTATTAGACACAAACTAAAAACATAATAAAGCAAAAGGATAAGAAAAGCTTTTTAAAGATTTTTAAATCCCTTAGCTTAACTTTGAATCACACTTCCCTAAGTCTTTGGGATTTTTTTTTCATGTTAGTAAAGCAGCACACAATTGTTGAAGATACGTTCTGTAGCGTTTTCCTAGCCCTTACAGAGGCATTAGATGGATTTCTATAAATTCTTAGGCCCTTTGCTGTGGCACTGTGTCCGTGCACACCTGTGTACCTGCATGTGTCGTTTTGCACAGAGGCAGTCTCAGTTCAAAGCAGATCTATTTCATTTCTCAGAAACTGTTAATGAATTTTCAGCACAGTGTCGGCAATAGCTGATTTCTCATTCTAAGCTTCTTGTGAGATCAAAGCCATCTCTCAATTATCTTTTATCTCTCAAGCTCTTATATTGCACGACATGAATTTCTTGAATCTAAGACAAAAAGTATGAGCTGGGGGATGCTGTGATCCTGAATACCTCTACATGACTAAAGACAGTGAAACGGCAGATAGTCATATTTTAACTTTTCTTGTTTCTATCTTGTTATCTTTATCTGGAGTGTTTTCATTCCACGTGGCATGAGGGAAGCGAGCAGCCAGGACCTTTCAGTCGTGGTGGCCGTCCTCACAGCTCCACCGCTGGGCCGTGGAGATTGCTGCATATTGGGAATAATCCCGCGCCTCACTCCTCGCACTACTGTGCTTATTAAACGTTGCTGTTACTCTCTCAGGTTATGTTATATTGAAGTCAGTGAAGAATCATGTAGGTCGCCTTTTCATTTGGAAAGATCATTTATATCTGAACTGGAAGTATAATCAAGAAAAGTGAAGGCCAAGGAGATGGCTCAGTGGAATAAGTGCTTCCCTGGCAAGCGCAAGGGTCTGAGTTCAATCCCTGGATCCTCAAAAAATAAAAATAAAAATAAAAAAATCAAGAAAAGTGAGCATATGTGAGATTCTTCTGTCTATGCATGAATTTAATGATGAATTACCCTGGGTGATCACATGTTCCATTCACCGTGTCAAACCTGTCACATGGTGCACCTCTGAGGGACCAGGCTGCACACTGAACACATCAGGGCCATTTCCTATTTTTAATAAGAAATGGTGACATCATGAAGTTCCACTGAGAAAGGGCACGTTATACCTAGTAACTTAAGTGGAGAACCACTAACAGTCACTATTATTTGTTTAGCTTCTCAGTTTACAGTCCCTGTAAATATAGTGACAGGTCTGATACCTGGATATAGAGCCATATGTTATTATATAATTTATATTCCTGTTTATTAGACTTTCATTTAAAGATATTCTTCCTGTACCCTAACAGTGCCCCAGTAAAACGTTCGGCGGGTTCGACTCCACCAAGGACCTGCCCGATGACGTCATCACGTTTGCACGCAGCCACCCGGCCATGTACAACCCGGTGTTTCCCATGAACAACCGCCCGATAATGATCAAGACAGACGTGAATTACCAATTCACGCAAATTGTAGTAGACCGAGTGGATGCAGAGGACGGCCAGTACGATGTCATGTTTATTGGAACAGGTATATGTTTGTTTTAATTTAATTTATACGTTTTCATTAAGAAAACTTATTTAAGTACAATAAGAACAAGTCAGATCTTCTAGTTGCTTTCAAGACATAGTTCACCTCTAGATTACTTAGAGAAATGAATACTCTATCCTTACAAATATTTTATCCTTTTCAATGAGTTAAGGGCTATTATTTTACATTAAATTGCCTCTTCACTTCAGGGAAATGCAGATAAATGTAATCCAGGAAAGCTAATACTATGTAAATAGTAAATGTTCATAATTGCAGCATAACTCTTTTTTGGCCAATGGGCTTTTAGCCCAAACATGTATTACTCAAACTGTCATTGAAATTCACAGAATATTCAATAGCAGTTTCAGAATATATGAATGCAAAACTATCTGAACTTCACAATTATAATATGATGAAAAGATTTCAACAAAGAAACGGTAACATCAAAATTCATTCACTGCTCCTGATACACAATGAGCAGAAAAGAACTTCATCAGGGTGACACAATTGATTTAGCACATCATCAGATGCTGTTCTGTAGAAATTTCATCCTTAAAAATAAATTTTGGAGGTACGTTTTCAGAATTAACTCCATCACCATTGTCGCTGTAGCATGTTATTTTATTTTCCCTTACTCTTGTGGGTAGTACCACTGTTTGTGAAAGTACCAGTTACAAGTCTGAAGCTTGCTGCTTAGGGTCAGATTCCAAGGTAGTAAATTCCTCGTCTCCATTAACGTTGCTAACTGACATAAATCACTAGGAAACAGTGAGTGCTCACTGAAACCTCGTATAATAACATTTATTTTCCCTGGGTGAGAAGCAGAAAGCACTCACATGAACTGCAGCAGAGTGGCAAGGAGGCAGTCTGGGTGCGACAGGCGTAAGCTTTCATAATGAAACTGTGTAGCACTCGGGCTGTCCTGGGTAGCAGCGTCAGGTTCTGCACAACACATTAAAATCTACTTTTACGGGTAAGAAATTTTCTGTATCAAATAAAAGGCTCCCAGTGAAATTCAGAGTGTCATAAAGGCAATGAATTGTGAGCACCAACTTCAGGTTATAAATGCCTTGAGAAAATATACAACAGTCCGAGTTCCCCCAGCAGGTCTCGGAGCACGCTTCAGTCCAGGTTACGGTTGCTGGCTCTGCAGCGCTCCCAGCACCACGCTTACCTGTGTCTCCCCTCTGCCTTCTGCAGGCTGAAAAGCAGCTCCCTGTCAAAGCAGCAGAGCTTGCTTCTGGGATTTGACCCAGGAAACCCAATCATGAGCTTTCATCCCCATGAGACACAAATTGTCCTTAAAGGCACTGGTTTCATGAGAATGTTGGCTGTCTGGTGATGGGCGTGGTGCTAGGTCAGTACAGACCAGGGTCGTCTGTCAGCAGAGGAAATTGATTACAGTCATTTTACCTTTTAACTAAGTTGCCCATCGTCGTATATTGATCCTAGCTGAGTAATCTGATTCAATTTGTGTGAAATTGTTTGAAATACTACTCTGTAAAACTTGATCTAGAACCCAGATAAAATTGTATTTGAGTACGGAGACCCGATGAAAGGCCTGGGTAGATTAACCTAATTTCCCTTTAATCTTCAGTGTTATGAGCAGCCTGTGGTCCTGTAAACATAGAAGGATCCTCTTAAAAGGGGACTTTTCTTTCTGACTTAATAAGGGATGAGGCAGCAGCCTCCCCCATGGTGCGATGGTGCGCAGCTCAGGGTGCAGGTCCCTTGGAAGCCCTTACCCACAGTATGAGTACCCGGACTTGTTTTTCTGGTGTAACCTGTTCCTTACTGGCAAGATTTTCTTCACAAGCCATCCATTAAAATTGATCAAAATGAACTACTTGGAGCTAGAGAGAAATGCTCAAGTTTAGTCAAAATTGGAATATTAGTGCATTAAAATCACTTTAACCCAACTTTGAGAAAATTGATGGTTCCTAAAAATTAGAAAATAAGATGAAATCTCAAGATAATGGATTCACCTTGTGCACAATTTGTGTTTCTGAATTTTAAATTTCTTTAATGCCTTACAATTAATCGACTACAATGTGAATTGAAAAATTACTGTAAGTGGCCCCGGGTGTTTGTTGAGTATTGCCATTCAGTGTTCTTGTGCCTCCAGGCCTCTGGGTGGCAGCAGTACAGGACCCCGGGGGCCTCCTGGCCCGGGAACGTGGTCCCTGCATTTACTGTCACTGCTTCTCTTCACACCAAGCGGGAGCGATGTCATGTCGTGTCGCATTCCTAGTTGTTGGATTGTTTTTTTCTGAGACACCTGATGCTTCGTGGATTTTAAAAATACATATAACACCACACAACTTAGCCCATTTCTTTTTTTCTTTTTCTTTTTTGTGGTACCAGGGACGAAACTCAGGACCTTGTGCTTCTAGGCAGACGCTTATGCTGTTGAGCTGTATCCCCCGGTGCAACTTAGCCCATTTCTGTAGTGGTCATTCTATTCCTAAAATTGTACAGTTTCAGTTAAAATCTTCCTCATATTTTTAATGTATTTCAAAATTTTCATTTTTTGTGTTCCACATCATCTAGTTTGCAAATTGCAAGTGGTGCCTTTGGGTGTGTACAGCTTACTAATACTTAGACAAACAGAACTAAATAATTAGAAGGAAGACAGAGGTCAGAGTATTCTTCCTTGAATAAATCCTAATGCCCTCCACTAAACCTGCGCTCTAATCAAATGCGTTTAAGTGGTGACCTTCCTGCATTCCTTCTCTTAAAGATGTCGGGACTGTCCTGAAAGTGGTCTCTATTCCGAAGGAGACCTGGCATGATTTAGAAGAAGTTCTGCTGGAAGAGATGACAGTTTTTCGGGTGAGTGCTGCTTCATTTCAAGTGTCAGCGGGCTCGCTCTCGGTGGTTCCCAGGAGAGCCCCGTGGCCCTGCTAGGCGCGCAGTCTGGCTTGCCCTTCTAATTAGCTTGTCAATGCGAAAGCCAGACACTAGTCAAAATAAACCTTGAAACTTTCAGTGGTAGTTAAACCTAAAGAGGTAAGGAAATCTGTGCCTGGCTCACATTTTGTTTTCTCAATGATAAAATATATGATTTTATATTATGGACATAAATCACCTCTGTGCACAGCCCCACCCATGCCCTCACCAGCTCCCCTCCTGTGCTTTCTGCCCGTGACCTGGACAGGTTTGACTTCCTCGCAGGCGTGCAGGGAGACACGGGCAGCGTGGCCGAGGATGAAACATTCCAAATGCTTTTTAGCATATTCACGAGTTTTTATTGCATTTTCTTAAGAAAGTTGTGTTAGCACCATGAGGTTTTTATGCCACTAGGAACAAACTGGTTGTGGATTCCTGGTCTGCGCGCATAAGCAGTGTCGGCTGCGAGCCCTTTGCTCCTGAGCTGCCGAGGCCCAGGGGTTGGGACGGTGCTTGTGGTGCAGGCGCCGGCATGCGGCCAAAGGAGCGCGGAGGGCTGCGGCGCGCCGGGTCTCCGCCGCCGGGCGTGGTCTGAACTGAACTGGAGCGCACTTCAGCATGCTTTACTGATCAGGCATGGCCGGGAAGTAGATTCCTATATAAGGCATAGTTTAATAGTTTGCTAAAAGAACGACGTAAGCGCACCTTGAGGCATTTATAAGTATAAAATATTTTGAATTGGAAGAAACAGATGGACCAAAAAGGGAGACTGTCAGATGTAGCTTCGCACCCCGCAGCGATCACCGCTGGCCTCTGGTGGCTCAGAAAGCGGATCTGTAAGATGTAGAGGCTGGATTGAAATCGGCGTTGATTCGGTGCTGGCGTTAATGGTGACGCCCCCCAAGACTCCGCCTGGACTCGCAGCTCGATGCCCGTGCCCCAGCCTGGCGGGCGCACGCTCACTCCACAGTGCTTCACTGCGAGAAAAATGCAGGAAAGCACGGCGATTCCCGAGAAGCACTTACTCCATTAAATTGTGGTTGCTTCGAGCATGTACCTGGGAGTTGTGACACAAATATTTAGCATTTAAAAACAAAGAAAGTTCTCATAGAAGATTTTAGGCTCCTCAGAGCTCTGTGACAGCTGATAGGAAGGCCTATTTCTCAAATGTTGTCCCCTCCACTGAATAGTGACCATAATACCTCTATCCCTGGGGGGGTCCAAGAATGAGAGATGCTGTGCTTAAACCACCACTGACGATTTCAGGCAGTGTGATCAAAATGCTGTCGCTGAAAGAATTGTATAGTATTCATTTACCTAAAGTAAAATTTCCAGTAGGCATTTCTACTAATCCATGGGTTAAGTTTGCAAAATAATAAGTATCATAATTCTGCTTTTTAAAGGCAAGAGCTTTGGCCTGTCATTAACACTGGGTATAGAGTGTTGGTTATTGTGTCCCGTAAGTCACCTCAGTGAATACAGTGATACCTCAGCCTATAAATTTTAAAAACACAATTACCCAAATGGACTGCTGTCTACAGTACAGTCCCTTGAGAGTTAACAAACAAATTATGGGCATTGAGGGACGGAATTAAAAGTTGCCTCCTTGTGTCCCTTACGAGAACGCCAGAGCCTAAAACACCTTTCCAATCAAGGCTCATTAACTGAATGTGCGCAGTGATAGTGAGGCACAAACGCAAGAGGAGACATGCACATGTTTAAGGCCCTTCCTCACTGAGACTGGGCTTATGCAGCATTCCAGAGCACAGGAAGATAGAGCAGACACAGCGCCTGTCATCCTGTTGCTCGGGTCCAATACTGTTTCCTCACAGACAGGAAGCTTACTCCACTATACATATACTTCGACATCCATATTGCCTCTGCTGTTGCAAATAAAGTTACAGGAGACACTAAAATAGGCTCTTTTAGGAATATGTTATTTTCTGAATCTACTTGTATTATTTATAATTCTTTTTTCTATTTTTCTTTTTTGTAGTTTTTAGGGAAGGGTCTACAGGGTGTTCAGGGTCTTACTACTAGATTGTACTCATAGTGATTCACCTGTCCCAGGGTCGGCGCGAGCACGGCAGGCCCAGGGATGGAACCCCTGGCCCCTGCCTCTGCTTGCAGTAGCTTTAATTCCCTGAGCTATTTGGCCGGCCCTAGTCATGATTCTTTTGCATGATTCCTTTCCATTGTCATACCTTCTTAAGATAAGGTTCATTCATTAACTCACTGACAAATAAATATACACCTGAATCTACCAGAGTCACTGCCCTTCTGATTTCCAGGGACACAGAGGTGGGTGTGGCGACATGCACCTGCAGTCCTGGGGCTTGGGAGTTCTTGTCTATTGGACCTCTTAGTTTTAAGAAGTGATTTTGCTCTAAAAGATTTTTGTACAATTAATTTTTTGAATTTTATGAAATCACATCATGAGCTTTAATTATGCCAATCTTCTCTAACATTTAATTCCTTCCCTTTGCTAATGTTCTATGGGACAGTCATAAAATTTTCTGTTTACAATTTTTTTAATTAAAGCTGGACTATTAAAATGACCTCTAACAAAATCATGAGACATGGGAAGTCAATCGTTCTGCAGATATTTAGTATTTCTTCTTCGTCATTCATCGTCCATGTACTTTCATAGGTGCACACCCGGCTCATAGCTGCGACAACTGTTAGACACCGCGCTTGTGGCGGTGAAGTGAAGCGCTTTCCTGCGCATTCTCCACACAGTTCTCTCTCAGCCTGCACCAGCTGTGTGCTGGCACCAGCCATGCATAAGCAGCCTTGTGCTGGGATGGCGGTGACTGCTCAGCAGCCTGCAGTGTCACCAAACGAAGCGCCCGCAGCCGGGAGCGCAGGTCCTCCGCCCGAGGCTGCCCTCGCTTTCCTGCACATTCTCTGCTGTGCACATTGTCATTATTTCTTTGTCACTCAAGTAGACAAAACATTTTTGGGCAGAGTTTAGAGAAATATTTACTTTTGACATTCTCTTCCATCAGGCAAAGTTCATACATATATTATAGCCTAGCAATTGGAATATTTCACTGTCAAACTTTGTTTAATTTTTGCAGTGGAGGAAAAAAAAACACAACACATTAAAGTGCTAGCCATACACAGTGAAATGGTGGAAAGAACAGAAAACTATCACAGTGTCTGTTTCAGCTGACCTGCTATCATTCCACTTAAAGTAAAATAAAATAAGGGAAGCGAAAGGTCAACATGAGCACTGTCAGAGTTTGACAAGGTAAATAGACAAGGTAGAGAGTTAGCGTCATGTGTGTGCCTGACATTCTTGGATTGAGACATACACGCACACATGTGCGCACTTACGCACACATGCACAGACATGTGCAGACACTTCTGCTCACCAGCCAGCAAATTCTCATGTCCAAGCGGCTGCATCCCCACCTGGCTGAACAACCCAGCCTCGTTTAAGTGACAGGACAAAGTCAAGGGCCACCATGCGTATTGCCATCTCAGGGTGGGTTTTAGCAAAACACCCCAGTTAAGCACAGAACGTTCCATTAGTTTGAATTTCATCCGGGTTGCTTTTACTCTAGGCGAAATCAAATCCTAATTATAGTCACAAGAAAAATATTTTATTGTAATAAATTATTTCCATTATACACTTTGGCCCTCATTTATACTTTCGGTTTTTCTCACCAGAGAGACAATGTGATATTTACACATGGGTGTTAGATTTATCTTACTTAAGCGTATGGTCTTGGGGTGCATCCACTTAGCTAGAAAGGTCTCCAATTTATCCTTCTTTATGGCTGACTGGTACTCCATTACATAAAAAACTCCACATCTTTGTTATTCTTTCATTGTTTGGTGGCATTTGGGCCGTTTTCAGGAGTTGGCTCTTACAAATCATGCTTCTATAAACATGTGTTTGTGTACATTGCTGTGATGTGATGTAATTTGTTCAGAAAGACACTAAGAAGGGGAACAGCTGAAATGGAACCTCTAATCCAAGATGTTTTAGGAATCTCCACACTGATTTCCAGTGGTTTCACCAGTCTACACTCCCACCAAGAGAGGGGAAGGGTTCCTCTTTCCCTATAGCCCTGCCAACATCTGTTCCTGGTTGAACTATGGATGATAGCCATTCTCTCTGGAGTGAGATGGAATTGTAGCTTTTTTAAAAATTTGCATCTCTCGAATGATCAGTGATGTTGAGCATTCTTTCATATACGGATTTGCCGTTTGTACTTCCCCCTCTTCTAGGAAGTGTCTATTCATTTCAGGTTACCCACATAGAGTGCCTTTAAATTTGATAATTTTTTTTTTTAGTTCTTTATATATTCTAGATATTAGTCCTTTGTCTGAGGAAGATCTAGCAAATTTTTTCCCACTTTGTGGGTTCTTTACTTTGTTGATGACTTCTTTCACTGAGCTAATGCTTTTCAATGAATTGAGATTGCACTTGTTGATTCCTTATATTTCCTGAGAAATCAGGGCTTTGTTCATAAAATGTTTTGCCTACACCGGTGTCTTCAAGGGTTCCGCCTATTGTGAAATGCAAAGAAAATGTTCAAATGAGAAGGGAAGCTAGGAAGTGGGGAGAGGAAGAGGAAGAGGAAGAGAAAAGAAAAAAGAGAAACTGGAAGCAAAGCTTTTGTAAATGAAAGGAAGAAGAAGGGCTGAAGGGAGGGGAGAGAGATGGGAAAAGGAGCACCGAGGTCTCTCAAGAGCAGGAATTCGCTGTGATGACTGAGATCATTATCTACATCTTAAAAATGCAATACAATTAATTATTTTAAAATCTTCCACTATAAAGTTGTGATTAATAGATAATAAGAGGCAAAATAAAACTGACCCTGTATAGGACTGAAGAAGTGACGAATTTGGCATTAAATATTGAAAGTGCTGTTTAAGTACTACAGCCTGCTGGCTTCTAAATGAGATTTCAGTCACAGGTATGAACTTGCATTGCATTCACTGTGTGATTTGGAGAAGCTGTCTCAAGTCCACGGAGCCTCACTGCCCTCTCAGACTGAAGCCTGCGATTCCAAACACTTCCTCGAGGGTTCTTCTGGAATTAGGCTTACTAGTAAGTGCTAACCATCATTGGCTAGTTACACACCTGAAAATCTGTTGTACAACACTTGCAAACTCCGTATCTGTGTATTATTTTTCAAATATTTAGAAGATGCAGAACACAGACGTACACTGGGTTTTTTTAGTCAGTGTGGGACTTCTCAGCCCCTTCCAGCCCTGGTGGCTTCTGGCTCTGAAGTAGTCCCCTCCTGGCTCCATGGGGAGCCTCTAGAGCCAAGGCCCTTCCTTGTAGTTCTGCTGGCCGTGGGGATGGAGGACCATAGGTGGTGCGAGCAGCAGCACGTGCATCGCAAGTCCAGTTTATGCAGTATTCCATGAACAGCTGAGCAAAACGAAGGAGTTTAATTTCCGCCCAGATGTGCGGTGTGCCTGACGCTCGCCAAAGCCTGGCCCGTTAACACATTCACGAGGAGCATCCACACGCTCCACAAGGCAGTGAGCTGCAGCAGAATCACCCAGGATCGGCAGACCAAGCAGCTTTGCAAGTACAAAAGCAAAAGTTTAACAAGGACTAGATTAAAATATGTGGGCAAGTATGCTAAATTAGAGTCAGTGAAGATCTTGAAGAGATGCTAAGTTTTTAATTTCATTTTTACATGAACACCAACTGAATTAGCAAGTGAAACCAGTTTTTAAAAAGTGCTTATGAAGCTACATCTGTTTTAAATGGAATTCATATTGGCCACCAGAGATTTCTCTGAAAAAAATATAGCTCATTTAAGTGGATGACATCTTAATATATTGTCTATTATATTCAGCTACAGGCAATATATGAGCATACTATACCAAAGTATAATTAATTTTCTGGTCTAAATAATAAATAAGTTTGAAGTCTGGCAAGATAGCTCAACAGACTAAGAGTCTGCTTAGGCAAGCGCGGGAACCGGGGTTTGATCCCCAGCACCACCTTCCGTGCCAGCCCTGCCCTGGGCTTGCTGAGCTGGCAACTGAGTCTGGGTGTGGTGCTGCCGGCCTCTAATCCCAGCACTGGGGAGGCTGAAACAGGAGGATCACTGTGAGTCCAAGCTGTGGAGGGAGACCCTGTACAAAAAATTAATGCTTATAATAATAAGTTTGTATTTGTTAAGTGATTCTAGGACCTTAATTTAAGAATGTTGAAATCATAATGTGATACCATGGAATCTGATGCTGTTAGGGTTTTTTATGTTTTATAGTTTGTATATGAAATACTTTATTTGCATTTGCCTCATTCATATTTTTGTGTTGCCAGGGAACATAAAATAGATGAATATTAATGTTTTATTTTTAAAAAGAGCTTAGACATAGCTAATCTTCACTTCAATTATACTAGCTATTAAACTTTCTCTAAGAAGTGTTTTCCTTACACCTTGACTGTAAAATTTCATGACAGTCTTCATGAAGGCAGCTGCTCGCGTGATCCCGGAAGTAGTTCTCATGCGATCTTTGGCAATGGAAGAAGTTACCATGGACACTTTTCCAAACCTTCTAAATTTTTCTTTGTGAATTTATTCTAATATCGTACACACCTAAATCTTATTTTCATGTCTCTCAAAGCTGAATATTTCCGATCCCAAGCTACAAAAGTCTAAAGATCGTTTCCCAGTAGAGATAAAATTTGATGACTTTACTTTCATTATAGCTGTCGTTGTTGTTGATAATATTGAGGAAAATTTAATAATTGGAATCATTCATTTAAACTGGAAAAATGGAAAGCTATTGGCAATACCTAAGTTATTGCACTAATGTATTCTATATCATCTCTTTCATTTTTGTCACAGGCAGGTCGTGTCAAATTTAGTAAGAAAACCTTGTTCTCAGGTCAGCTATTTAGGGCTCAGATGGAGGCTTGGGCTTCTGGCACCTAGAGCCTGTGATTAGCCACTCAGGAAGTGGTGAGGGGGGAAGAAAGCAGCCACAGAGAAAGAGGGGAAAAGTGTGGTCAGTGGCAGACAGATGCGCTAGGAAAGGCTGAGGGTGGTCAGTGAGGAATTCTGAGGCACAGCCCGTTAGAACAGAAGAGGCAGCCAAGAAGCACTGACGTGTCACTGAAAGACAGAAGTCAAGTTCAGCCGGAGACACACCACCAGGGTCATCGGTGGTTTCTGCCTCCAAGACAGCGGACCTCCCTCCACTGCACGGGCTCGACTCAGGGGTGACATCCACTGACAGAGACGCCACAGAGAACCCAGAGCACACAGACCACTGCTTAGTGGAGACCAGGGCAAGGTGCTGTGTGAGACCGCTGCCTTTGTCCTATACAGAGATTAAACAGAGGAAACTGGGTGCAGTGGAGAAAGTTAAGGAAACAGGAGAGGGAAAATTGGAGGAGAAACCATTCACCCATTCACTTGCCAAGTATTCATCGATAATTTGTAAATATTCTGTGTGAAACTAAACAACTCAGATCCTGGGCTCACACTGAAGGGGGCAATGGACAAAACCTATAAGACGTAGCTGTGGTCCCCACTGCCTGTGAGCCCTGTCCTAGCTCCCTCTG